AGGGATTTGGTTTTACAAGGAAGAATTAAAAAGAATGTCCTTGCACGGTTGTGTTATTGGCTTGTAAAGCAGTTATGTGTTTCAGAAATCACCTCCAGTTATCACAGATTACTGGTCATAGGTTAACATGAAGCGGAATATGGCTGAAACAAGACAAATTCTCATTGAAGATCAATTTCTCTTAGCTGGGACGTGACAAAACAAAATTAAAATATTTTAAGCTATGTGTCATCACATTTTTCCTTTTTTGTCCTTTCATTTTCTTTAGACAATTGTCTTTCCTGGTTGAAACATTTTGCTGCACTAAGCAAATGACAGAAACTTAAAGTAATACAGAGATAGAGCTTTATATTTGCAAATAAAATGTCAAATGTAAAAGAAATATTGGTGTAGATAGGTTTGAGGTATTTACAGGACGAGAGTAACTCAAGAGTCTCACATCTTCTAGTCTTGCTAAGCAATATTCAAGAAAACCACAGTATAAGGGGCATTTTAGACTCCTTTTTGTCATTCTCATTTTGGAGACTGGATCAAGATGCTAAAGTAGCATAAATGAACAAGTCATAATAATTTATATATCAATGTAAATCTAGTTTAGGAAAGTGGCATATTCCTGATTTGACAAACTGAAGCTGTTACCATTTCTCTCCTTCTGATTTAATATTTGGTATATGTATACAAAATGTTTGTATTTCCAATATTGCTTTCACAGTACAGAAATTCAAAAGCCAAAAATATAGTGGGGAGAAAATGTTCTGTAATGGTTTTTGCAGATGAGTAAAATAGCAAGGGAGGCTTAGCACTGATGAGACATCTTGATGACAGGCCATGAAACTGCAGCCTAACAAATCAAGTTTAGCTGCACTGAGGCACTGGAAATGGTGTATTTTCAGTGTCTGGTCTCACTTTTCCTGGGGTCTGCATGATTCTGTGTTATGATTTAACACTAGCCATTCTCTTAGTCAAGTCAAGTGGGATATGCATGCTGTCTTTAGATTTGGGGGTAGATTTACATATTCTTTGTATATAAATGAGAAAGTTATTGAATTTTTAATAGCAGTTTGAGACAAAAACAAAGGGATTAAGAAAAAGCTGTGTAAGTCTATCCAGCAGCTGCGCAGGCCTTGATTTCATGGTGTGCTAATAGAGGAATTGCTCCAGGGATAAATAAATGGACTTTAGCCTTGAGAAATATTATTTTCTGTAATGATAAGAGGAGTAAAGAGATCAGCTAAACCTCAATATTTACTTTGTGTTGCAGGAGGCAAGTTTTTCTCTGAAACTTGTCCTGCATCTGTAAAGCTCTGCATAAGCCTGTGATTTTACAGAGGTAGGAATGGATCGGTTTGCATTGCTGCATGAGTAGAGGGAGGATTCACGGACAGTTCTGCCCATGGACGCCTTGATCACAGGAGATCACAGTTCTCAACCCTTCAGCTCAACAAGAGCAACAGTCTGTTCCTTACTTGCCAGCTTACATTGCACCCACATCACATTCCTATTCTGTCTCTTAAAGGCAAATATCTTCTTACAAAACAGCCCTATAGCCCCTCTGACATGCTCAATGATTCCTAGCAACAACTGAGCCCCGTAGCAATTCACAGCACCAATAATGTAGAGCACTTAAGTGGGTATGTGAGAGGTCCTGGACTATTTTGAACATGCAGTCAGCTTATCTCCGTCTGCAACCATCAGTACCTTTCAAATATTGCTTTTCTATCTGGGTTAGCAGAAGCAAGCTCAGTACCATTCACAAGTCAGTGGCAGTTCCAGATGTTTCCCAGAAGACATTTATGGCCCCATGTGGACCATTGAGGTAATTTTTTAACCTCTTGGAGAGGCACCCTGGCATAGGGTTCACGGCAGTACTAGCACATACACAGATGAAGAGGTGCAATTCAAAGGCAGTAGAAAACAAAATCTGCTTTCTTCTCTAAGACTCATGGGATCAACTACTTTCGGTAACTCTGTGATTCTTTCCTAAGTCACTGTTATTTAGTATTTGAAAATTATGGGCCTCTGCTGGCACCTGCAGCTGCTAACCAACCCAATGGATCAAGGGCTTTGAAGTGCAAATGTTGCAGACAGCCGAATGTCAGCTGCCTGGAGGCTTCCCACGTGGAAGTGATTAGGAGCATCCCTGACTGTCCGGAAGTTTTTATTTCAATGGGAAGGCCTTTCAAGGAAAAAATGTACTCCTTTTTCAGCTGTGGAAAAAAAGTCAGCAGGTACAGAACTTCTCACTCCCACCTCTGCTTTCATGCAAGAGAATTTAAGCATCGAATCACGGACAATTAACACAGCCACATAACCTTGGGTGGTAATGTTTTCTCATGGATGAAAAATGAACACAATTCTAAGTAATTTTTAGGGTAGGAAAGATAGAATGTTCATGTCTAGATTTTATTTTTATTTTTAGTCTGCATCTTAGGGCAAAAAATGTTCTAGGGTGAGGTGGCTTAAAAGCCATGTAAGTTTTCATCAGAAGGTCACTGCCTGGTGGTGGCAATGTTAGGTACTCTTCTGCCCTTACTTCTGGGTGAGAAAGGGAGAGTAGAGGAGAAATATGGCTCTTCTTTAAGTTCAGTAGTTAAGTTGAACACACAGCATTTTACAACTGGACATCCTGAGTGCTAACCCAATGCAAATTCCTACCTGTCAGTAATTAAAAATGCATTTTCCATGTGTTAGCCCAAAAGATTTTTCCGTTCATGAAAATTAAAGGTAGTACTATGCAGAGTAACTGTGTACCATTGCAGACCATGTGAGTTAACACTCTTGTTCCTCCTACTGTTCTTCAGAGCAGATAGAATGATTATTAATTAAAATTTTAAATATCAGAGCAATACATGCAGTGTCAGAACAGCCAAATGACTTCACAGATAAATGTTGTCATCAGCAGCTGCAGTTTTGCAATATGACATCTATAACCAAGGAGATTTCCATGACAGGAACCATCTTCACAGTACAGTTTCTCCATCAGTTAGTTTTCCTTGCCCTTTTTCTGGCTGCCTGCACCCACATTTAAACATAGGACGTCTCT